AGGAGGATAATTACATAATAATAAGTAAGAATTTAATTGTTTATGTTGCTGGTACACCATTTTGAATTGTATATGTTGCTGGTACACCATTTTAAATGAAACTGCTAGTAATCATATCTTTATAATAAAATAACTGTAAATGAGTTCAATGAATTGCATCGATATTTTCAGTTTTTAAGGCATTCCACAATTTTGTTGCTCTATTTGTAAAGAAATTGAATCTTGCTAGACAATCTGTTACTAGTTCAATGTTTAGTTTTTGCCCTTGGCTACGTGTATGAGTCCCAGGTTTATTAATAACTGCAAATGTAAAACTTAATGACTATTGAATTTTCTCATAAAACTAATGATTATTGAATTTTCTCATAAACAATGTTATACATTTGGACCAAGTTGCTGTTGTCTTGAATCTGTCTTAAGTTCAAATATTTATGTCGTTCTTTGTGCAATAAATATTTTGATTGCACAAAGCATTTCAACTTTTTATTGCACATATTATTTCTAATAGCATTCTTGTTACTTTGCGTTGAATTTTTCCAGCCTTTTTATATCTACCTTTAGATATGGACACCATACTACATTTACATATATAGCCATATATATTTAATTTATACTTACATTCAATTATTTGTGTGTTAGTTACATTAAATGTTCTTTTTATCAGTAAATTAAATGTTCTTCTTACCAACTTTGGTGTTGAATTCGACACAAAAGTTGAAAGACGAATTCGAGCAATTTAAGTTATTTATAAGATAATTGTATCATAAACTCTATTTGTGCATCATCTTGCATTTATCACCAAAAAATTGTTTATATCCTCTTGCAATGATACACATCAAATTATCTTTTGCTATTATCTTGGAATTATTAGCATAAAATTATTAATTATTCAAAATAATCTCATTCAAATTGTAGATGAAAATGAGAAATGAAATTGACCCAAGTATGGAGCCTTGTAAAACAAGAATTTTGTTTTTTGAAAGAAAAACATTTTTTTTGAAAGAAAATTATGAAAGCTTGCTAAAATCTAATGGACCAGGATCAAGAATTTATTATCTGTAATATTAAATGTTGTTTATTAATCAAATGCAATACATCTTTAATTATCAAATGCAATACATTTTTAATTATCAAATGCAATACATCTTTAATTATCAAATGCAATACATCTTTAATTATCAAATGCAATACATCTTTAATTATCAAATGCAATACATCTTTAATTATCAAATGCAATACAGCTTAGATCAGAAAGTAATTGTCTAAGGCACTCTTAAATCAAAAAATTCCAGTAAGGTTGAGAACAAACTCAATTTTATTTACTGCATGCTCAAAGTTTGTAAAATATGTTGATGTTTATAAAGAAGATTATTCAAATTCATTTTATCAGAACTTACAGGGGTGCGCAGGTTATCGCAGAAAAATAAAAATATTTATATCTCAAAAATGGCTTTTATTTTTAAAGTAAAACTTTTCACAATACCAAATCACATATATTTTTACTCAAAAACACTAATGAATTTCAAAGTAGCCTCCTTTGGCATTAATGACACTCTTCAAACGCTCTGGAACTGACTCACAGCATCGTCGCACCATGTCCGGACTAAGATTCTTCCAGATCTTCTTTAATTCGTTTCGGAGGGCTGCCAAATTTGGATATGTTTTGGCTGCCTTCTTGGTCTCCATGACACTCCATATAGCAAAATCCATAGGATTAATGTCTGGGCTTGAAGAGGGCCACATATCTGGGGTCCAAATGTGCGGAACATTTTCTTTCAAGAAGCTGACAGTTTTCTTTGCACTGTGTGCTGGTGCACTATCCTGCATAAAGGCCCATGGATCGTCCCCAAACTTCTTTTTGGCCCAAGGAATGAGGTTAGCTTTGATGAAGTCGACATAGGTCACCTTCAGGAACAAAAACAAGGGGAGTTTTTGACCCATCAGAACACACACCTGACCAATCCATGACGCCCACAGGGTGCTGTCTCTTTGGAATAGTCCTCAGTTCCAAAGGAACTGTTCTTCTGGACTTACCAAGAACTCTGTCATTGTATCTGTTGGGTTCTGGTTCAACTGTGAAAATTTTTTCATCACTGTAAACGATAGGGACATCTTTGTGGTCTTTGAACCAATTTAGTAACTCTTTTGATCTTTTGCGTCTTTTGGCTCCAGTTGCCTCACTCAGAAGTTGTCTTTTTGACTTGACAAGGCTCTTCATACCCAGATCATCGTGGACAACACGTTGCATAGTCCTTCAAGACACACCTGCTTCTCTAGCTAAGGATGAAATTGACCTGTTTGGGTTTCGTCGTACTTTGCAGTCGATCGAATTTCGAAGTTCTTCAGTTCTCACATAACGATTTGGGCCTGTTTTTTTTCTTTTGTAATTTTTTCCAGTTTCTAAGTCTTTTAAGAGTCTGTAGACGTTGGAATTATGAAGCTGTCCCTTCACGGCTTTGCAAATTTCAACTTTTTTCACACCACGTTTCCATAGATCAAAAACAAGTTTTCTTGCATTTTCAAATTAGTGAAAAACTGCATTTTTTAAGGATTAACTTGTTGAACTTTGTTGCATTTTCCCGCCAAAAATGTTTTTCACTGTATATCATATTTTTTGCCGCAAAATTTTTGTTTTCATTTATTTCTGCAATAACCTGCGCACCCCTGTAAATTTTAATACAAAAAATTGAGATTTAATAGGTGACCAGATAGACTACACTTTGCATCTTTACACTAACACACACGCCTATAGATGTCAGATTTCCAACTAAAAAAAGAAGCGCTTTTGCAGGTGACTACTCATCTGATCTATCTGAAACATGAGTATGTCAGAACAAATGTCTTTTTTCATCTTATGCGATTTCATAATGGCTAAATTATTTGTAAAATTCAATCCCAATCAAGTAAACATCCTAATCTGGATCCTAGTGATCTTTACCAACAATCTTATTGATCATTTAACATCAATCCTTAGTCAAAGAAACTCTTTTTTTTTGAAAGGAAATGACTGGTCGAAAAAGCCTTAGCATTTTCACGCCACTATTTCATGGACAAGAGCTCAATTGAAACCAATAGATTTATTGCTTAAACAATCTTTTTTTTTTAAAAAGAATTTATTAAAAATGCCAATATTGGGTTCTAATGAAAAAAGTTTGCTGCTGCATTTAAAACATTCAATAGCTTTCCTTAGGCAATATCAGCAATTCCTACTATGTATATTGTATATTTATTTTGAAAGAGGATTCAAAGCACTTGAAATCCTAATTACACCTAAAGTTTATGTTACCATCAATCACATAATTGAGTTTTCACTTGGCAATAATATATTTTAGCCTGTTTGTCAATGAAAATCAGGCTGTACACAATGACATTACCCAGCAAGAATTTTCAAAACTCTACAAAAATTTTTTAATGAGATTTGAAGCAATGTATCAAAGATCAGAATAAATGCAGATAAGCAAAATTAACAACAAATTATGTCACTTTAAATTACTTCCCTGTTTTAAGGGAAGCAGTAGTTTACCATTGAAATTTGAATTATTCAAAATACTGCAACAACAAAAAAAAATGTACAACTGTGTAATTGTTTTATACAAAGATTAAGAATGACATGTTAATATTTTAATAAGGAGTTTGTCGATGTATTGTAAAATAGGATAAATAGTGACAGTTTTTAGGAGTTTTTTGGGTACCACTGAATAAGTTATAGTTTTAAGATTGCATTATTTGGCCATTATCAAATGTTTTGATAAATTTTGGTAATGGCTAGCCTTATTATTTTTGTTTTTTGTCTGTCCCTATATTGACTTTACATACTGGGTAAATAGAGACGCCAACAAGCTTTTTTAGGGTTATAATAGGGACACTGTTAAAGGTTTTTAAAAATGTGTCTGCATAGCTAAGGTGCACTGGTAACATTTAACACTAACCAGGATGCGCAATAGGTACAATTAAACAAAACCTTCATTTACTATAAAACAACACGTTATGAAAAATTTTATTACAGCTATTATTAAATAGTGCAGTTCTGAGCATTAAAATTACAGATTTTTAGTATAATATAACTATGAAAAGCTTTATTGAAGCACAGTGGCACATAATGAACACAAATTAACAAAAAAATCATAATACAAAATATATTTAAAAAAGTTAAAAAGGACCTTTTATAACCTTTTGAAATGAAACTAAAATAATACTCAAGTGTAGTATATTCTAAATACTAAATCTGGCACATTTACCACTGTCTATCGTATTAAAAAAATGGAAATTATAACCATTCCCTAGATTCTATATTAAATTTTAAAACATCTCTACGCTTAAGAGTTTGTTAATTCATACATGCTAATATTTAGGAATAGCTGAACACTAATTTGTCTTAAGCCTGAAGAAAAACAAAGTAAAAACATTCTTGTCAGTACAAAATTTGATCAACTATTATTAAAATTACAAAATTTCTCTTCTTTCCTAAGTTTTGGGTTAAAAGTCGATAATAACTCACTTTGTCCCATTTCACCCTTTAAAAAAAGAATTAAAAAAACTTTTTTTTGAATTCTTTTTTTAAAATTACTGTACGCTAACTGGTTTTTATCATTTATCTTAAAATTTTAAAATATGTTGTAACATTTTAAGGTTTAAATAAGTAAATTAAATAACATTTTATGTTTTAATTAAGTAGAGGGAAAAGTCAAATAAACTAAATGTTTCTTTTTGTTTTCAATGTTTTTAAATATTTACGCGTTGGGGAAAGGGAAGAACTTTGGGGAATTTTGGGAACTTGGGAAAACGAAAGGCTTTATTTTTAAAAAAAGTTATGCCTACGTACGCGAGGGAAGGGGTCTTCGATAGCGTGCAGGTTCGTAAAAGAGGGTAGGGGGAGTTCTAAATCAGTGGTTTTACTGCGTACGTACTTTATGGATGCCCCCTAATGTAAATACAGAATAATTTTCTTTCTTGAAAAATATTTTATTACTTCTAATGCTAAAGTTATATTTTTTTTATAGTAGCTTCAGAATCATGTTTGAATTTGTTGACAGACATTGCTGTTGAACATTTTATGAAACTATGTTCTTTGTTACGAGAGCGTCTAGAACATTCGTCGTTGAACTCTAAGCAGACTGTAATTGTAATATCTTGTTTTATTTTATTTTGCTTCTATTATCCTAAAAACTATTATTATTTATAAATGATAGTTTAAAGACTCTTTGGTATTTTAATAACTCAGTGCTTTGGTACAAATTTAAACGTTAAAAAACATTTTTGATAAATTTTAGGATATCATAAAGTTAGTTTTTTCAGAGGCTTTAATGGAAAGTCTTACTTCATTGCAAGACTATTGGTTAAAAAGTGTGAAACAAGTAGCTGTTAAACTAGAAAAGGAAAATGTTGCGTTGCTTGAAGAGTACAACTTTCTTAGGGTATGATAATTTATTAAAATTGAGATTTTTTGACTAGTTTTTTTATAGGGAAAAAAAACAAGTTTACGGTAAACAGTGTTTAAATTGTATAGCAGGTAACTTATTCTGTAGTATTAAGTTATATTTACTACAATATTATGCCGCGATGTTAAGTTAGCCAATTATTGTAAAAAATAAATAAAGAATATATCAAAATTAAATAGAATTAGTTATGCAGAACATAAAGTTTTGACTAAATTATGTCATTTAGTATAAACGCAACATATTTCGATTTTAATGAATAACTATAATTAGACATTGTCTGTACAGAGTCATTTATTTAGACCAAGCTTTTTTTGTTGCTTGCAAAAGATATCGAGTGTAAACAAATTTAATCATTATTCATAAATTGTTTGAAAGGCATTGCCGTATACAATTTACATTTCTCATTTTTGGAGAATCTCAAACGACGAAAAAAGTTCTCGCGGCTCTAAATTCATTCTTTAACATTAAAATAGTAGTTTTGACTATTAATTAAATAGTTAATTAACAATTATAATTTCTAAATTTTGAAGTTTTTGAAAATTTCTTTTTTTTTTTCACTTTATTTTTCATAATTTTTAAATCGTATTGTAGGATTCTTCATTCAAAGCTGTTAAAGAAGAAATAAACAGGTGATCGCAAATCTTTTGACAGTTGGCGTAAATATGTTGACATTCTGCGTCACGGGCTCGTTGGGAATAGTTGTATTAGCTGGTTATCTCTACAATGATACACGAATCGTGCGAGCTAGTTATCGATACCATAGTGCGCAATATATAGGAGTTACTCATCTTTGAAAAATCTTAACTATTAACAATTTAGTTAATATTTAATAACAATATTTAATTGTTTCAAAAAGTTATTAAATTTTTTTACTGTAGTTAATAAGTAAATTGACTAGAAGTGTTTTGTTCGCAAAAAAAAAAAATTAAAATGGGATTAAATTCAAAATAGGGTTGTTTCCACACCTACCGTGAGTTTATCAAAATTTATTATATGTTAGATTACTTAAAAAGTAGATATGCATTGGAAATGAATTTTTGCAGCCGTCAATGAAATACTTTAAGGGTTGGTTTAAATTAGGTCGAACCTTAATTTGGATAAATTTAATATACAAAAAAACCCGTAATTTCTGATGTCAATAAGTTGCAATAACTCGTAAAATTGCTTGTATTTATGAAATTTCGCGCAGATATAGCTTAACGTGTAAAAATTACAAAAAATAAAATGTACTTAAAGAATAAATTTTTTAAATGCTGTTCTCTATAGTACAGTCAATTGGTGACAAATTTATATGTTTTTGTGCTTTTTGGGGTAAAAGCATGAAAGTTGGCCTACATGTTGATTATATCGAAATAATCATTTTAAGACTAAGACCCACTTCCGAAATAGCTCCACCTTTCTCCATGCTAACCGAATCATGTCCGCAGCGAGAGAAAAAAAAAATCTAAAAAAACGGTCATTTATGCGTCAATCGAAAACCCAAAAGAAAACAGCAAAAAATATAAAAACACAATATGTTAAAAATAAATTGCTAACGAGAGACAAGGCTTTAAAAACTTAAAAATCAGGGGGTAAACGCTAAGTATTTTTGTATTAAATTGTTTTTTAATTATAGTATAATGTTTTTATGACAAATAGTTTAACTTTAATAAAAATTATAAAAGTTTTCAGAATAATGCAAAGCTATTTTTTTTTAATAATTAATTAATAGTTAAAAACACAATGTTAAAGATCAAAAGTTACCCCCTAAAATTTTAAACAAACTTTAAAAACCCTTTATATTTCAAATTTTTGGTAATTATGAATTTAACGTTCACAATCACGACCACATTTGCATGGAAGTAATGCTTTTACACATTTACAAAGACCTTTTTCCAGCAAAAATGGAACTTGATCGCAACCTGTAATTGCACGAAATAAAAGTAAACATTTTTGTTTTGGACCAAGTCATTTTACAAGATCGTGCACTTAAATGAAGCGTTGGTTTTCGCCAGTACCGAACCATATCCATAAGTCTTCTAAATGGAGCTTATGAAAATGTCCTAAACCTAAAATTAGAAAACTATGATCATGTTAATTAAAAAAAAAACTATTTTTATTACATCAAATATTTTCTGACTTGAAAATAATCTAAAGTCTAAATAAAAAGTTTTACTAATGACGACAACATCAGTATCTACAGTTCTAATCATGTCTTTTTTAAGTCCACTATTTGCCGCTTCTTCATGTTTGCAAGGCTCAAGAATCGATTTTTTGATATTTTGGTTAGATATCACTGAGTCCTCGTGGGTCACAACTATCAAGTTATCTGTTTGAAGACAAGATACTTGGACTGAAAGGAACTTAAATAATTATTTTTTGTTTTGATCGACGCGAAGAAATGACTGCCAATTACTTGAAATATTTGATTCAGGCAACACACGACGTCGAATACCTTGTCCTCTTTTGACTCTTGCCGATTCTTTAAGGCTGTTTTATTTGTAAACTTACCAAATAATATCAACTATTGCATATGATTGTAACTGTTTAAAAATGAATTTCTGGAATACCTTGATTGAATAATCTTCGAAAGTTTCACGGTTCTCGGGTGATAAAATATTTACGATTACAGCTCCATCAATAATCATTCAACTATGGGTTTATCTTTAAGTGGACTGTTCAAATCATTGAAACACGTTTAAATATCTGATTTATTTCCACTGCTTAACAGTCCATCTTTTGAAAGAGACGGTGGAAACGTGTGGTTTTCATGAGCAAAAAACTCGTTAAGGTTCCCATCTCGGATCTGGCAGGAAATGTACAGTTGCGAAAATAATTGACAGTTCTTTTTAAGCACAGATATTTGCGATTGATCTTTTAACTTCCATTTTGTATTGACATAACTAAAAAGTGGTAGCTTATTTCGTTTTATTGGATTGAATATAGACTCCCTACACTCTTTTATTTTAGTTTGGAAAAAATAGTTGAATATTTTTTCTCCAAAATTCTCAATCAAATTAACAGTATTTATCACTTCTTTGTCTTTAATAACACGGGTATCAAGTACAAGAAGATATAGGCTTTCTTCTTTAAATGGATTACCCATGTTTGAAATTACATCAATCAAATTCGTAACTTGATGCGCAAACCTATTTTGATGACTTTTATTTTGTTCATGATGTTTGAAACTTGTTTCTACGAAATCATCTTCATCGTTTTCAGCGTATGGTATATTTGATTCAAATTCATTTACGCATCGAGCTAACTTAAGTCCACAAGTCATCCAGCGGAGTAATTCTCGTGAATCTTCCGTCAGTCCGATTGCACCTTAATAAAGTTTGAAATATTTTATTTTTAATGCATGGGTTTTACACTTATAAATAAAAAAATTAAATCAACTTCAATCAATTTTATATTTTCCGATAAGCTGCTTAAATGGAAGTTTTATTGTTATTGTAATAAAAAAAACAACCTCCTTCTCCTTTTACACATTTATTATTTTGCTCATGTGCATGGTCTAGCCCAATTGAAGAAAACTTTCTCTTTGTTTTATTTACAACAAACATCTCGTTCTGAAGTAGTCTTACAATTTCTGGATTTGTTTCTTCCAGTTGAATCATATCTGCTAAATCATATCAGTTGAATCATATCTGCTATGTATGGATAACAAACGCGAGTAATGCGGATGGTCCGGTGCAAAAAACCAAGGTAGCAGTTGCCGAATGCACTGCCTATACAAATCAAAATTTCCAGTTCTTATTGATCGCACAAAAGCTAGTATAAGCAGCTCAAATCTGAGTGTTATTGACCAAAATCTAAATAGGGGATAAACCTGCTCACAATCTTCTCTCCATTCATTAAAAGGTTTTTCACATCTTTCATTTCGAACTACGTAGTCTTGGTAAGCTTTTTCATCAAAATATGAAGAGCAGCAGCAGTTATCTATTACGGAATTATAATTTTTTCTTAGGGGTGTATACCTCAAAATTTTCTGAACAATAATGTTCAGTAATTGTGTGTATATCACATAATGAAACTCATTCTTCCTAACAATGAAAAAAAAAAACTTTAAAATTTACCTGATGCACACTTCTTGTTTTTGATACATATGATGCATTAAGGTATGATTCAGCTTTCCGAAATCTCTGCTTCAACTAAAGCAGAACACCACCCGGAATCTTTCAACCAATTTCCAATTGTTTTGAGTGCCGCCATTTCGATATGAAGTGGCCCCATCATAATTATAAAAGCTTTTTCTCCATAGTATTCTTTCCAATTCCACTGTATTAGTTTAGCCAAGGAATACAATGGCTGATCAAAAGTAATGACTTTTATTTAAAAAATCAACAGCTGTCTAGATCACATCCATTCCATGTTTGATCATGGCAGCAGATTTAGAAGATTCACAGAATAATGGCAGCAACGCCAAATCATCAATTGTTTTTACGGCATTAATCTGTGATGCATTGAATGCTGACCATGTTATTTTGGACCTTCTTTCAATTTTTTCACTTAATAGTGTTATATCTTCAACGTGGAACAACCATCTGAAATAAAAAAAAATGTTTATATATATCTTTGATTAACTATATAAACATATATGCATAAGATGAAGTGCAAACAAGTTTTACGTTTTTTCTAAGTCTATTTCGGGTATATGTTCCCGAAAGAAGTTGTTCAAACAGACGTTGGAATAGTTTTCCATTTCGGTTCTTTCATTAAAATTCAAAACTAGTCGAATCTCAGTGTATGAATCAGGAAGGTTTAACAACTGGTTTTTTTTTTTCAGAAAGCTCTAAAGTAGAAATTTAAAGATCTGATACATTTTTCTCTGATTTTCGATGCTGAAATAATGATATTCCTGTTCCGTGAAAAGAGTCTTCAGCTATCGTTGAACTTGGGTTGTGATCTATATTATCCAAAGCAGCAGTTGTAAAAACGTTAGGATTCAAGCGCGGTTGGCAAGCTAATTTACTTTCTGCGAAGTAGTTCAAAACTCTATTACCCATTTGTGTTGATAACTCCATTATCCAGTTATAATATATTGATATCCTAGCTTATAAAGTTTATCAACAAGTGTCTTTTTGCAAGTTTTCGTATGAATCATTATGCCTACATTAATACCTATTGGACTTTCTCGAGATTTTTGTCTTTTTTGAATCTTGGTTTTTTGTTGATTTTGACGAACACGTTTAATACTATTGTGATTTATCAATTGACTGATTGTTAAAGTTGTTTGTTCTAAACCTTGACTACATTCATTACTTGTATTCCCGAGTAAAACCGTGTCAATAAATGACTTTAAAGATGCAGGAACAAATGCCGTTTGGCGATCTTGTTAAAAATAACCGTTGAAGTCATAACTTTGATTTGCGAGAATATCTCGCCGCAAGATTTTAGCTGCTTCAGATAATATGAAAGATTCGTCTTCATAATTCTTATTATGACAACTCTTTAAAACATTTCCGACATTTTCATCAAACGTGAAGTAAGAACACTTTTTATCACTATACTCTCTTACATTTTCTACATGCGGCAACAAACTTTACTTTAATTTTGTTGTATGGATCCTTTCAGAAGTGTTTCCGCCAAGTTCGGTAACCCTTTTTGGTATATTATAGCAAGGTCAACTAATTTAAAGACATGGTTATCTTTATCCTTTGCTTGTTGAATCATATACTATTTCAATTCAGCAAGAACCTGGAAATTGATTTGTTTTTCAGAATTATTGCATGAAATTTTATCGGACTCTTTTCTATTAGATCTTCTATAGAGACTTAGCAGACAAGTAGAGTGATACGTTGCATCTTGGGATATCATGTCACTAGCACTAAGCTTACCTAACAAAGTACTATCTTCAAGAATAGCGGCGCACTTTTA